GAAAAATTGTCCTTACCAAGCGGCTACAACATCTCTGCTGCTGTGACCTAAAAGGTTGCATTTAATTACTATTGTTAGCTATTTCTACAACCATCTATTTCTTTGTTTTGTTTGTATGGATGAATGTGTTTCTGCTGCTACTGGACACATGAATTTCTCCTATAGAGGATCAATAAAGTATCTCTATCTATCTATCAAAACCAAGCCTCAACATTGCAGGAAGAACTAACAAAAGCTCAATCAGTCCAGATTTCCAGGTCTAAGTGACAAATAAACTCCTAACCCAGCTCTTTATCAAGCCCTGATCAAACATGTCCTCCAGCGCGACCTTGGACATCTGCCTGTGTTGTAGCCTGTTGCTTTAATTTGTAATCTATCCGAAAGTACTTGATCTCCAAACAAAGAGATTATGCAAATGAGTGAACATCGTCTGCTCACTCGGCTCTGTTCTAACAAAATAATTATTGGGGGGGAAAGAATCATAGACATTTTTTCGCTCATCTCCATGGAAACTCAAATTTGGATTGAGTTTGGGATCCTGTTGTGAAAAACGCAGCAGGAAGACAGGGCCAATTACAAGTTGTATGAAAAGATCACAATGGCTTTTTGATGAACTCAAAGCTGGCATAGATCAAGAGGCAGATAATACAGGAGGAGGAAAACAGGCTGAATGTGTTTGTGTAAAACAAGAGGTGGCGCTAAAGAGCCTTATTAAGTTGTTTCTCTCTCACTCTCATTACACCTCCAGTCAATTTTGTCTGAAAATATTATCATATCTAAATTGGGGCATAGCTCAATGATGTAGATTGGTAATACTTGCACTATATACTAGAATCCTAATATTAAAATTAATGAGTCAATATGGTGTTTTTGCTCACACTGTTGTGAAGTTATAACAGATACACGCAAAAAAGTGTTATCGTCTGGCCTGCGTAAAGATAGAGACTCACGTGATGCTCATTCTGCTTTCTAATTGATGACTTCGGCAGTGGTTTTCAAAGTTGACTATTTTGTATCCCGAGTATATAGTTAGGTCTTCTGAATACCGCCAAAAGACAACAGGGCCTGAGTTCTTAAAGCTATGGATTTTAGTCAATGTTTTGGTTTTTGTTAATGATAACTTTGCATGATCTTATAATTCCTTTCAGCCCTCAGAGTTTTGTCGTCTCCGTATCTTTCACATTGTCATCATATCTCTGTCATGTATACTGTAATTTTCCAAATGCACATAGGCACGTCTCTCTGGAGGACCCTCAGCATCTTGCGTTTCCATGGCGATCCCACTCTGTTCTTTTTGGTGGGTCCGTCGCTGACACCATCTCTCCCATTTCCACCTCCTTCTCAGCTCTCTCTCTCTCTCTCCCATGGCCCTTTTATCTATCATTCTTCCTATTGTTGAACTGCTCATCTACAAAAAGCCTGCACACGTATTGTACATCCAAGCTGGACAACGAACGCATTGCTGCTTGAGAATAGGTACGTTTTACATTTTGATACTTTTTATAATGCAAATCTGCTTTTTCTCAACATTTCTCATCACTTTTTTTTGTTTTCACAGGACATCCTCATTATGTCAGGTGCATCCCAGCCACCCTACAAGACCTCCCATCTTCCCTTATGGTTACCAACACCCAACACGCCCGGGGTCCCTCTACTCCCACATTACGAGACCGCCATGCAAGCTCAAACTATCATTATTATCGTTATATTCTGTGGGGTCTGCTTGCTGTTGCTCCTAGCTTTCTTGTATACCTTTTGCCTCCACTGCTCCATAAGGACTCCTCCCAGTGACTTGCAACTAAGCTTCAGTCTTGACAGAGAGGACACCACCTACAAATGTACCTCGTCGGACTGTCAGTCAGAGGCCAACGTAGTCTGAGAAGTAAAGTGCACAGTGTTTTCTGTATTTTGGCGGCGGTGGCATGCTGTGGATGTGCTGAAGAGCCCGATCTGTAAATCTTCAGAGATGCATTGATTTTAGTTTGCTGCCAGTTAAAGTTGTGCCCCGGCTTCAATCTATAGGAGATGGAGATGACACACGGCCAATTTAGGTCCCTACAGCGTGAAGAGAAAATCCATAAAGGCATCATGTCATGGCAACACAAATGTGGATTATAGGCATCTGTTTCTGATGAGTCAATTACTGGACAAATGCTTTTAACAAGGATTATTTATGTAATTAATAATAGGTATTTATTTGTTCATGTGTTCATTGTACTGTACTAGTCCATCCCCATTCATGTGTCTTGTTCTTGTATTTTACCGTTGCAAAATACCCTTAAAAATACATATAAGGGTACAAAAAGCATGGTCTCATTCAAAGGACAGTTGCAATTTATTTCTTGACTCTTATCGAACAGATTTAGTCTATTTCAAGCCATTTTTGACCCACTTTTTCCACTTCTGCAGTGCACGCACGCACACACACACACACACACACACACACACACACACACCAAATAAATTAGATCAAATTGTCATAGTCATTTCTTTTTGTGGGTTTTGAATATATTTCTCCAGAATATTTTATTTGCTTATTTTGAAATGTGAGTATCATGTTTTAAGCCACTTTATAAATAGAAAATGTGAATAAAGTCTGGTGTTGTACTGCGTTTCCATAGTTACTTCACACTTCTTGTTGTCTGGTTCACCTTAATTGGAACAATTCTGGTTCACTTGAGGCAAAACTGTTCTGTTTGTGGATGTAAAATCACAAAAGTTTACTTGTGTCTATCAATTTAAATTCTTTGGAATAGAGCTGTGAAGCCTTTTTCTCAAGTGAACCAGACCAGTCCCAGTTAAAGGGGCAGTATGTAATATGTACACTGGTCTAATAAAGTCATTACACTTACAATCCAACGATAATATGTATGACTTCTTATTATTAAATCTGTTTTCATTGAAAAGATGTGTGGCGTATTTATTTTTTTTTTTTAAGAAAGACAAAAAAAAAAGATAAGGTGAGACCATAGACTGTAAATATTAATGGACGTAGTCACACCTCTCTCAGCCGTTGAAACTAATGTGCCATCTTTCGTCTCCTGTGGGCAGTTTGAATGTGGGGCTAGACAATTTTTTAAAACTTCTTCAAACATTCGCGCATGCGTTAGAAGGCACGAGCCCCATTGATTTGACAAATGCCATCAAAAGTTCATAGCGGCTAAACTAGACTGGTCCCAAAAACATACTCCTCTCAGCATTGACACACATCTGGGATGTAGCGTCGGGACAAAAGCCGACTTTTGGATCATCCTGTAAAGCCATTTTCGAGAGGAAAGAAGACGCCATACCAAAGCATTGAATAATTATTTTTCTGGGTCATCCTGACCGGCCCTATTGACTCACAGCGAAATTCCCCTCGCTCAGTAATCGTTTGTGTCACACTCTCCATTTTTGGATTTTAAATGTATATGGTTTAGCTCTCTTTGACCCTTAATTGTGATATTGTCTTTGTAAACCAAGATATGAGCCATATATGGATTAACCAATCAAATGCAGGGGAAACTCCAACCTGCCTGAGCAACACATCTGCCCCTGTTACTACATGAAGCTTGTAACTCTGTACGAACAAATGCCCTTTGGCTTTAGCTAACTTGTGTTCAAATCGCCCTCTTCCACAATAAGGCTAACTCTATGGTGACATCAGCATCAGTCAGTCCACTCCTGTCAGACAGTGTATGGTATATCTGATGAAGACATTCTGACTGGAGATTACCCTATGCACACACTGTCAATCTAACAGCAGTCAGAGGCCATACGCCTGAGAGGCCGTTTACACGAGGACGCTGTGGCAGTAAACCGATAGATTTGGGTATCGGATTGGCCTTTCGTTTACACAAAGACAGTGTTTTAGTGGGGCTACAGTACAAACGCTAGCATTGAGAATCGGCCTCCAGAGTGGAACAGATACGCTGCACCGGGCTGTTTCACAGCTGTGTGAAGATAAAGGTGTGAAATGCGCAGTAGCCGCAAACAAACGTTAAAAAAAATGCCGGTGGATCAAATAATACAATGTGTGATTTGAACGTTACACAGAGGAGCAATTCTACCCCTTTCGTTTCCATTTTCACTGCAGCTCTAATATGTAGAATGATGTCGGTGTGTTCTTTCCTATCTTTGCGGTGACCTGAGCAGGATGTTGTTGAAGAAGTGATTATACTGCGGGGGGTTGTAAAGTTTAACCGCCTCCTACTGGCCAAGTGCTAGAACTACATTGTTTTCTGCCATTGTATAGATGCTTAGCACTTGCCTAGTCCTTTTTGCAAAAATTGCTTTGCAGTGTCTCCGCTTCGTCGCCACAGTGTCTCCGTCTAAATAGGGCCTGAGTGACAGCAACAAGAAGGGCCAAACACCTCTCGGATGTAATCGCACTTTATTATCGCCGAGCTGGCTTTTGTTTACATTGTGATTTGACAAGACTGATAAGAAACAATGACAAGGTGGAAACATGATGCCATTTGAACATCCCACATTCACAAGAAAGAACCTTACCGCAACAACAGAATGCAAGTGAAAGTATGGATTCTATTGCATGGGGACAGCTGGAAGAAATACCTTCTGGGTAATGGTGGAGTGGGTGCAGAGGCGAACACACACACACACACACACACACACACACACACACACACACACACACACACACACACACACACACACACACACACACACACACACACACACACACACACACACACACACACACACACACACACACACACACACACACACACACACACACACTTTCTTCCATGTTATTGTCAGAGTTGAACATGTTTTTAAATCATGATTCTTCTTAGCCTGTGAGTAAGGTGAGCTTATATGATGGAGGAATAAAGAGTTTCCAGATGTTCGGAACATTATTTTTTATAAACTGCTACATTATAGGAGCAGTTTTAAAGAAAGTCAAGTCCTACAATTTAAATCATTATAATGAAAAAATCAATGCGGATTGGAATAATGTCTATTTTAAAAGAAATCCTTCTTTTTCCACCGCTTCATTTTCAGTTTGAATCTGACACAGAGTAAACACATTTGCTTATTTGAGAACCCACTGAAACTAACAATTTCTAAAGAATGATTCAATGAAAAACAAACCATTCACGCATCTTGTAGTGCAGATCTCATCACAGACTTCTATAAGATCAAAGAAGTTATATTTAATTTGAATTTTCATTCCTGCCTTTTTTATCGTATTGAAGGAAGAAAAATACCTGGTAGTCCAGTGTTGTTACATTTTAGGCACACTTCAGGTATACATTGAGAAGAAGAGTCATGACCTATTAAAAAATACAACTCATAACATCTCTAATACAATAAAAAGGATCAAAAATAATATTGTGGAAAATACTTGCCTTCAAAAAGATGTCCGATAATAATGTATAAGAGCAGGAACGTGAAAGGCATCCTGCTAAAATATGTGAGTTTTCATACATGATGATACATTTATGAGAAAAGTTTGAGAAAATAATCTTACCTGACGTTAGATGGGTGAGCTGCTTTGCCTGCACGAACAGTTGTGCTTTGGATCCCGGCAGAGTTGATCATAATGACTGATAGCAATGCAAATAATCCCCGAAACTGTATATGGTCGTGTCCTTGTTTGCATGTATATAAGAGGAAGTGTCATCGAATAAAAAGCTTGTTCTTTTAGGCTTCTATTTATATCATCCGAAACAAAACCATTGGATATTTTTTTGTTCTATTCCGCCCCCAACCCCCACCATAGACAGTAGGATTCAGCAGTTTAGTCCTGTGGGCCAGTATTCCCCAAACTTTTTGAGCCGTGGCACTCCTTTTCCATTGAAAACAACTATTTTACATAAACGCAACTCTGCAGAGAAATTTCCCCGAATTAAGGATCTCTTAAACTTTTTTTTGTTGTCTTTTTTTTTCTTCCCATTTAGATATTGTTTATTTTTTAGGCACATCAGACAACATCTCCTGGAACACTAACATGCCATTGCACACTGGTTGAAAAAACACAAAAAACACTGCTTTAGGCCATATTTTGATGTATTGATGTATTCACAAAATTGATACAAATAAGTGTAAGACCCAATGTTCTGACAACAAAATACTTTAAAATTGTTATCTCTGTTTGTTATCTTTCCAAGGCTCAAATTGAGTTTGAGTTTGACATATCTTTATTACGAGGAATAGTCCCTTGACATGCATCATCTCGAGAGGGTCCTCATTGTGAAAGATAAAAACACATGTATATCTTTTTCCCATAATCTTTTTCCAAGGGCGGCACGTGGCTGAGTGGGTAGCACTCTCGCCTCTCAGCAAGAAGGTCCTGGGTTTGAATCCCAATCGGACCAGGGCCTTTCTGAGTGGAGTTTGCATGTTCTCCCCGTGTCTGCGTAGGTTTCCTCCGGGTACTCTGGTTTCCCCTACCACTAAAAATATGTCCAATAGACATGTCTGGCATGCGCCTCCTGTACTGGAGCCTGCTCCCATCTCTGTGGAGTGAGAGACAAATGCCCATAATTAACAATTGTAAACCGCTTTGAGACTCAGATCTGCAGTGAAAAGGCGGTATATAAATAAAGATTACTACTACTACTACTAAAGATTACTACTAACTTTGTTCCCAAATAATACCAAATTTGATTGTTGATTGTCAGTCGTTTCAGTTTAACACTAGGACTTCCGGAATTCTGAAACTACAAGAACTCCCAGAGCAGGAATTTTTTAAATGAAGGAAATTCTTAAAAAATATATCCCAAAAAATACAGTTTTAGTTTTTTCACTGCTTAAATTAAATTTAAGTCATTTGTACGGTTTTCATCTTTAGTACAAGCTAAAACGGGTGAATATAAAATAATACTAACTGATGCAAGTAAACACTATGGCAATCAGGTTGAGATTGCTCTGAACCCATCCAGGACCAGTCCAGGACCAGTCCAGGACCAGTCTAGGATCGATAAAATATAATAAACATAGTGACATCGATATAAACTGAACAAGTCTTAACGTTTTAAAGGCCAAAAACGTACGTAAGCAGAGTAATTAAACTTCAAACATGAAAAGCCGTCAAAATGACAGCTGAGGGAGTTCGAGTAAGAAAATAGGCATGGAGTTGTAAAGAGCGTACACTATTTAGACTTGTAATAATCAATTCGACCGCCAGATGGTGCTAATGACCACCTGTTTGATGGAAGGCTTTATGGTAAAATCTGAAACACATTATTTCTGCATTCGCGTGTGTCTTAAATCTTCGCTCGAATCCGTTGACTAGATTTACACACAACATAAGTCATTACAAACATTGACTGATTTTCTACTGCGCATGCCTGAACATAATTAGTGCAGGTGAGGCCCGCGTAGTGTCCTCGTGCTGTGGACATATGATAGAAGCGGTTCCTTTCATCTGCACGTCACATATTCTAACGTCTGACCTCTGTAATACACATTCTAACTGCTGACCTCTGTACTACACGGTCCATGTTGCTGACCTGTGCCCGAGGACTGCGCACGATGGTCACGTTTAGAAGACTTCATCACAAACTGGTCCGACTGTCCAAAGTAGTGCCACAAAAACCATTGAGGAAATATGAAGGATATGAAAACCTTTGCATTATTGCCGCTGGCACAAAAACGCACAAGGTATGTTCAGTTTCCAATCTCTTTCATAGCAATCAATCAAGTTTGTTTATAAAGGCCAATTCATGCAGTGCAACCCAAAGTGCTTTACATAAACATACACATTTACACACATTATAAAACAAGAGATCACTCAATGTCAGGATTAAAACTACATGAAACGGTCAAACTCAAAGCAAAATAGAATGGTTTTCAGCCTGGACTTGTCAGATGCCAGAGATGAGGCCTCCAGTCCCTGTGCTCCTGAATCCGAGCAGGAGGTCAGTCCCTGTGCTCCTCCTTTTCCCTCACATGACACTAAACGTCACAAATGGTGTGAGGCCATGGGGAGCAAAAATGACATGCTTTTGTGATAGGTTTTCCAATTTTTAGCAACCAAAAGATGAATCATTATGCACCATTATGTCTTAGTTGGTTAGTGACCACCAGATTGAATTATTAAAAGCAGCGTTTGAGCAAGTTATTCTGAGGCGTGTAACTACGTATATTAACTTTGTTTCCCCTGGTATCAGTACTCTATTTTTATGACATCGTTTTACTTTTCACTTTTACTTTCACTTGACATTGTTTTCCTTTTCACTTTTACTTTCACTTGAAATCTGACATCTGTACTTTCTACTCCTTACATTTTATAACTACTAGTTCCCTTTCAGATGGAAACATGACATAGTGACGATGATTAGCCATGCTTCTAAGTGATTTGATTGCGGTGATTGGCTGAGAGATCTAAAGATGTGACTGGCCAAGAATACATGTATGTGAAAACTTGATTGTTTTACAGCTAGCTAGAAACTATAGTATGGATATTGTTAAATAGTTACACAATACAATACAATACAATTTATTCTTGTATAGCCCTAGGTCACAACAGAAGTCATCTCAGAGGACTTAACAAAACCATTGAAATCACCAACACAGGTCAGAGAATCAACAGTTAAAACACATGAAGAATACAGTATAAAGCACACACAGAAGAAAATGTCCATACATGTTGTAGAATGCTAAAGTGTCCTGATCATCACCAATCCTTTCTGTTGGACACTAACTGTCCAACAAGACCCTCCTGCATCGACAAGGAAAAACTCTTAAAAAACCCAGTGGGAAAAAGTGAGAAACCTTGGAGGAGAACTAGGGAAACCCACAGGGAGGGAGACCCATATGAGAAAGGGATCCGCTCCTCCGGACGGACAGACTAATGATCCAGGACCTAAGCTAGCTACAGAACGTGGACCAGTGGACGCTGAACGTGGACAGGTCCGGTGCAGGACTGAAGCACTCCCAGGCGGGTCGGGCGGGGCAGTCCGCAGGTGTAGATGGAAGAGGCCAGGCTCAGAGATCCCGTCATCGTACCATGAAACAGACAATGGGACAACGGGTGAATAGCAATGAACAAACTACAGTCAGAATCCTAAAAATGCTAAACAGATAAAGTAGGAAGGAGGAGAGGATAGTGCTCAAGGCACCATACTTCTCCCAGCAAACTGACTCCCTATGCAGCTTGACTAACACTCTGAGGAGTTTAACCTTCTCCGAGTCTTACCTTCCTAGCCATATGCTAAACTAAAGAGGACTGTTTTAAACCTAGCCTTGAATAAAGAATAACATACAGCATAATATATAACATAATATACAACATAACACAATACATTATTGTATAATATATAACATAATATATAACATAATACAGCATACATATATAATATATACACCATATATTATATATTACCTAATTATATGCTAAATTAAAGTAAAGTGCTTTAAGCCTGGCCTTGAATGTGGAGACCGTATCTGCTTCCTTAACATAAATGGGAAGCTGATTCCACAGTAAAGGAGCTTGGTAGCTAAATGCTCTGCCACCAACAGTGACCTTTGAGACCTTAGGGACCACCAGACGTCTGGCGTTTTGTGAGCGCAACGCTCGACCTGGTTGATACGACACTAACGTGTCTTGGAGATAAGAAGGAGCCAAGCCATTTATGGCTTTATATGTTAAGAGTAGGATTTTAAACTTTATTCTGTACTCCACAGGGAGCCAGTGGAGTGATTTTAACACCGGAGTTATGTGCTCCCTCCTTTTGGTACCTGTTAAGATCCTAGCTGCTGTATTCTGAACGAGCTGGAAGCTCTTCAAAGAGGCTTTAGGGCACGCTGCCAGTAAAGCGTTACAGTAGTCGAGCCTTGAGGTGACAAACGCGTGAATGAGTTTTTCCGCGTCACTTTTAGGAAGGAAATTCCTAATTTTAGCGATGTTCCGTAAGTGGAAGTACGCCGTTTTAGTTGCTTGGCTTATATAAGCCTTGAAGGAGAGTTCTTGGTCAAAAATGACTCCAAGATTCCTCACAGTGTTACTGGGTATTATACTGACATTATCGAGAGTAACCATCTGGTTAGTGAGGGAGTCACGCAGGCGCTTCGGACCGAGTAGGATCACTTCTGTCTTCTCCGGGTTGAGAAGTAGGAAGTTAAGAGTCATCCACATTTTAAGGTCCTTTATGCAGGCACTGAGCTTTTCTAGCTGATCTGTCTGATTAGGCTTCATCGACAGATAAAGCTGTGTGTCATCTGCATAGCAGTGGAAATTAATTCCATGCTTTTTAATGTTTCCCAGTGGCAGCATGTAGAGAGTAAAAAGAATCGGTCCGAGTACCGAACCCTGCGGCACACCGAATTCCACTCCAGAATAAGGCGACGAGTCCTGATTCACATTGACGAAGTGATATCGATCTGATAAATAGGATTTAAACCAGCCAAGGGCTGTTCCTCTAAGACCTATATCACATTCTAGCCTCTACAGTAGAATGCTGTGGTCTATTGTGTCAAATGCAGCACTAAGGTCCAGTAGGACCAGCACTGACACTTGTCCATTATCGGCAGCTAGTAGTAAGTCATTTGTGACTTTGACTAGTGCCGTTTCAGTGCTATGATGAGCTCTGAATCCT